CGAGTCTAGCAGCAGTCGACCCACCAGTCCACCACGAAGGAATGAAGAACCTCCTAGCCGAAGGGAGGAAGAGCCGACGCGGTCCGAAGACAACCGCCAACCTTTTGAGCAACATCATCGCCGCCGGAGGGAGAACCCCCGGGACGAGGGCGGACACCTCGGCCATTGTAGATCCCACTCAAGGGTCGAGGGCCGACGTCACGCCTCTCCCGCATCGGTCTCAGACCTCCGCGACATCCTGAATGACCACCGCACTAGACAAGAGGGGCACGGTCCTGTCTCAGAGCATTCCGGAGTTCGTGCAGATCCTGACCATGCCGACAAAGATGGGTGGCAAGCCCCAACTGACCCTCGAATTGCTGAGCTGCGAGTGGAGCTCAGGGCCATCAAGGACTAGCTCTGCCAAGTCCGAGAAAGCCGAGTTGACACCTCGGCCAACCAAAGCAATCCGACGGGGAGAATGGATGCCTTCACCCTGGATATCATCTTCGAGCCTCTCCCCCAGCGCTTTAAGGACCCTACACTGGAAATGTACGGCGGGACCTCAGACCCTGACGACCACCTGGAAAGTTTTAGAGCGCTCATGATACTTTACGGGTATTCCAATGCCTTGACGTGCCGGACTTTCCAGGCCACCTTCAAAGGAGCTGCCCATCGTTGGTTCTCCAGCCTCCCACCTCGGTCAATCAGTTCGTGGGAGCATTTCTCCAATTTATTCCTCACTAGCTTCATCAGCAGCAGATGGTGCCAGAAGAGCGTCGTCTCGCTGATGTCTATCAAGCAAAAGAAGGGAAAGAGTCTGTGGTCCTACATCGACAACTTCAGAAAGGAAGAACTTGAGGTCCATGACCTCAACCCCATGGTCTCTATGCACACGACCATTAATGGACATCGTGTCGGTTTGGCACTGAAGTGCTCGGTTGCCAAGACCCTGCCAAAGGCAAAGCTAGAGTTCCTCAAGAAGGCCCAAAAGTATATTGTGGCCGAAGAGGCTTCATCCGAGGACCACCAGGAAAGGGAAGTCGTGCGCCACAATGGGCCCCCTAAGAAGAAGAGGAAGGGCGGAGATAACCACCACCACAACAACAACAGCAGCAAGGACCACGAGAAGCCACCGGCCTCGGCCCTGTCTTACAACCAATACACACCACTCAATTCCACCAGAATGCAGATACTGATGCAGATCGGGGAAGAGAAGTTAACAAGTGGCCTGAGAAGATGAAGAGGAATCCCAAGAGGGGAAATCCCAAAAATATTGCAAGTACCACCGCGGCACCGGCCACGACACCGAAGATTGCTATGACCTGAAAAATGAGATAGAGTCCCTCATCCAATGAGGGCACCTAAAATAGTTCATGGGTAGCGGGCCCGGTGCTACATCCTCCCAGCAGCAACAGCAACAACAACAGCCGTAGTAGCAGCAACACCAGTAGATAGCCGGCATCATCGACGTCATCGCCGGGGGCACGGCCTCGGGTAGATCCTCGGCCTTGGCCCACATGACCTACGCTAGGCAGTTAAGCATCTATAGGCCTGCCCCCAAAAAGCCCAAGCAGCAAGAAACCCTCTGCTTCCCTGACGAGGACTTGAAGGGGGTCGTAGTCCCCCATGATGATGCCTTGGTGATCTCGGTCGTCATCGCAAACTTCGTAGTTAAGAGAATCCTCGTTGACACGAGCTCCTCAGCTGACATCCTCTTCCACGAAGCCTTTCAAAAGATGAAGAACGCGCCTGAGTAACTCTAGCCAACCAACGTCCCACTGGTCAGCTTCTCCGATAACATGGTCAGACCAAAGGGAAAAATTACCCTACTGATTACGGTAGGGACCAAGCCCCAACAAGTGACGAGGATGAACGAGTTCCTGGTCGTGAGGATCGGCTCGCCCTACAATACAATCATGGGGAGACTGACCCTTCACGCACTAAGGGTAGCCACCTCCTCATATCACCTCGCCCTTAAGTTCCCCACCGAGCATGGCGTCGGAGTTGTTCGAGGGGACTAGCAAGTAGCCCGCCAGTGCTATATGGCAACACTAAAGGGCAAAAACAACGAAGCACTACCACTAGAGGGCTTCGACCTTAGGGAGGAACCAGCGAGCCGAGGCCAACCAG